AATTATAAACCACTTCAAATCTTCTTTTGGAAGAGGGATGATTAACTCCAAAAAATTTGATGGAAACTTAAACCCTTGTATAGGGTTGCAATTTCATCCAAGGGGTCGAAGTGATCCAGATTGGAATATTAATTGTTGTCTTTTATCTTTTGTAGCAAATTTGATTTTGGTTCGGAGAGCCAATATAAAAGCCGAAAAGTAAAAAAGTTATATAAATTATCACATCACTATTTCTAATTTTTTGTATATTTTTTTACAAAAAATTAAAAAGTTAAAAAAAAAAAACAAATCACAATGCATAATATGTCCTAAGAAGTGCATTAAAAAATAAAATAAAAATGAATACTATTAGAAAGGATTGAATGGATTTTCTAAAAACACAACATTTCCAAGATACTATTTTTGAATTTTCAATAATTTTAGATCATAAAAAAAAAAGAAAACAAAAAGATTTCAAAACTTATGTTCTCAATGTTTCCCATTTCTTAAAGAAAGCTCCAAAAAAATAAAATAAAAATAAACAACCAAAAACAAAAATATTGAGAACGAAGGAGAACATCCTTCAAGTGAACATTTGAAGTGAAATTATGGCTTTTTTGTTTAAATTCCAAACAAAAAGACCTTGAGCATATCTTGCTATTAGCCCGCGTTTGGATTTTGAATGTGAGTAATGATTTGCGTAGAAAAAATAAAAAGAGGAGAAAATTTATTTGAATAGAAGTTAAACTTTTATCAATCCCCCCCTCCCCCCCAAAAAAGAAAAAAAATCCATGTTAGAATGAATTTGGATCTTCAATTGAATTAAAAATATCACCACATTAGGTTAGAAATTGTTGGAAAATTTAAGAGTGAATGGAATTGGACTCCATTCAAATGAAATAGTGTAACCCTTTATGGTGTCTTTTTATATAAAAGAGTGTGATCTTAAAATCAAGACCTTTATGAATGATCATGAATACTTTTATAAATACTATCTCCTTGGCATTCATTTGAAAAAGCAAGTGTTAGCATTCATACATATATCATAGTCAAGTATAAAAGTGAGAGTGCATAATACAAATTGGTTCGTTGTATAAACAGAAAGTTAGGCAATTTCTATGTGGGGTGATCGTTATATCCTGGAGACAGAACGTCTATCAATCACAAGCACCAGAGGCGAGGAAGAATTTTTGTCTTAAAGATATAGTGTTCAAACGCTGGCCTCAATCACAGCCTGCACTAGTTTTGTAGAATTTCTGTAAAAAATTCATTGTGTTTTATTTTATTATTTATTTGCATTAAATTAATATTTTCAAAAATATTTTTTTACAATTTTAAGACAGAAATTTATGATAGTAGAATAAGAAAAAAACAACAGGAAATACAATCTGACTTAAACACAGATTCAGATAAAAGTATCATCATTTATCGAATCTAGTAAACGGGAAACACATTGCGCAGAAAAACGATATGCAAAAAATTAATTTTTAACCGAAAAATACTAAATCTATATCACAGAATATATACACATAGAAATTGTGAACAGATTGAAAATTCCATCTTAAAATTTTGTCTTAAATAGAAATTTATTTGGACAAGCTATTTTAAAACAGATTGTATAGATGTTAACTCATGTTACTTTTGTTTAAAAATAATTTCATACTAGCATAATTGTTAAGCAGATATATTGATTTTGTTAGTAATTGTTTATCATATTATTGATGTCATTTACATGGCCGAATTAATTTTAGTATTTCCAACTAATTTGGAATGAGCTTTTATGACATCATGTTGCCATTAAACTTTTATGAAAAATTGTGTGATATGTGTTATTTTCTAATTGATTTAATTCTAGTGCTATGTCCAGAATTTAAATAAAGTTTTATTTAAACGTTTGTGAATTTTTTTAATTAATTTGTGATTGTGATGATGACATACCAATGAATCTCTTTTGAAGTATTATACATGTAATTTGATTATGATAGTAATACTCTTGCAATATCAAATCAATCATTAACACTAGATAAATTTAAATATCATGATTTAAATAGTGGTGTTGTTCTATTTAATTGGAAATAAATTGAGAAATCTTTTGTATTTATTATTATTTATTTTTAATAATAATTAATTTCAAAGTTATTTTAAAAATAACTTTGACTTAAGTTGCCATTATTTATTATGAAACTTGTGAAGTAGAGTTGGTTTATATGTTTTAGTGAGTATTTAATTATGTCAGGATTATATAGATATTTATTGTACTAAGCATTAACCATAAAAGAAAGAGTAAATATGTTACTTATGTGGGAGTTTATCTCTTGAATTTGAAGAGAAAATTTAATTTTTTTTTGTTACAAATATTTTTGAATAAATAATGTATGAATTTATCAAAAATGAATTATTATTTGTAACAGTGACACTTGTTCGTAAATGAGTCGTGTCGTTTGAGTTAATTTATGTATTATCACAAATGTGAGAAAAGAAAAAAAATTGCCTGCTAATCATGATTTATGACAAGTTATTAATAGAAACTTGAACAAGAAGTACTCAAATTTAAGAATTGAAGTCTTAATTTGGAGGTACGAGTGTTTTTTCTTAAATGCATTGTACAAGTACTTTTTCTTGAATGTATTTTAAGGATTTATACAATTAAATGAGATTTTTGCATTGTTTGATTCTTGGGTAAATTTTATTTATTTATTTTTTTTTATAAGGATATGATTTGTCAAAACATTAATTTTGACTTGTGTAATCATAATTATTTTGAGTTTTTACTTCATTTTTAGTACCTTTTACTTATATTCTGATTTATATTAGAATTGTGAGGGTGTATTGATATTTTTGTGTGGTAATATCCTAATAAGGAAATTAATTTTTCTTAGAGTACTTAACATGTTGGGGTGCCTGGAAGATTTTACTAAAATAACGGTTTCAATAGTAGGTCTACAAAGACAAAACTGGAAGAGTAACAAAAAATGACTTTGTTAAACTCCTAAGGAACATCTCTATGTCTATTAATTAATTTTAGATATGGAACAGTAAGTCTTGATATAATCAAAGACTAATACCACAAGAGTTGTAAATATTGTTTAAAGATAATATAATGGATCCACTAACTATTTAATGATATATAACTGAGAAGCCAAACGGAAAATAGTGACCGCTAAGTTTGATTAGAGAGCAAATGAGGGAAAGTTCATTCGAGAGAAATGTGATTAAAGCTTATTAATTTCAAGTTACCATAATGGCAACCCAACTTAGCTTACTGGAGATTCCAAGATCTAAGTTTAAAGAGACAATCGAATTATGGATGACTCACCAAAAATTACCAAATGAGTCTATCTCATATCCATTCTTATGATGAGAGTGATATCTGCAACATGTGTTGTATGTAGGAGACTTAAGATAAGTTATGCTTTTAATGATTACTTATATCTTGAAAAACCTAGGGGATATCTTTTAAGAGTTTTTTAAGAGACTCGAAATAAGAATCACTTATATGAGTGTAAAGGGGCCACTTTTATGAGAATTAATAGGGCTGAATTCTCTAAAACACTCATGAAAATCAGGAATTGCCCAAGGCCAAAACGGGCACAACGAAAAGAACCAAGATGTGTGGAGATATTTTGTGTGAATTCTATTGCCTTAACTTACATGAATGACTGAACAGTTCAAGACATCATGTCCACTGATTAGCTAATAACTTCGATAGTCTTTCACTAAGGAAGATTTAAGGCCAAAAACTACCAATTCTGATACAAGATATTTCCATTTTGTACTCTCTTTGTCTGCATTTCATTTGCATTGCGTCGTCAATTTCATTCATGTGAGAGATTGTTGGAAAATTTAGAAGTGAATGAAATTGGACTCCATTCAAATGAAAGGGTGCAACCCTTTATGATATCTTTTTATATGAAGTGTGACCCTAGAACCATGACCTTTATGAATGGTCACGAATACTTCTATAAATACTATCTCCTTGGCATTTATTTGAAAAAACAAATATTATGATTCATGCATATGTCAGAGTCAAGTATAAAAGAGATAGTCAAAGTATAAAAGAGATAGTGCATAACACAAATTGGTTCGCTGTAGTTCTGGAGACAGAACGCCTATCAATCGCAAGCACCAAAGGCGAGAGCGAATTTTTGTCTTAAAGACACAGTGTTCTAACACTAACCTCGGTCACAATCTGTACTAGTTTTGTAAAATTTCTGTAAGAAATTTATTGTGTTTTATTTTATTATTTATTTGCATTAAATTAATTTTTTCGAATTTTCTGACAGAAATTACAAATCAAGTTATAAAATTATGGCATTAGAGTTGATATATGTTTAAATTAAAAATTATGTGTATGGCAGATGAGGGAGGAAGATAAGATATAGTAGAAGACTGTTAAGGTCATTACATGTTTGATGTTAACCAAATTAACTTTGCACTATAGTTCAAAACCATACAAAAACTAATTGCCTATGTGCTCCAACCTGTAAACCGTACGAACGTAAAGTGAATTTACCTTAAATTATAAATAATATTTGTTCTTAAAATGTGTGAACAAATTTAAATTTAAATTCAAATAAGTGAGTCTGATTTTGTTCAAATTCAAGTTTCAATTGATTCAAAACAACGGAATTCACGATTTTAATTCATTAATATAACTTTTTGAAATTAGAATCCAAAGTTTTGAACCAATCAGATTATGTATTTTGTTCACGAGTTCACACACTCATGAACAAATTTAAATTCAATTTGAGTCATAATCCTAAACAACAATTGAGAGTCAAATGCCTAAACTTTAGACTAATCACTAACCACAATTTAAGACTCTTATTCTCAAGCCAAGCAAGTAAACACTACATGCATGCCAATAAGTTCAAATAAATCTCAAAAATACAAGTCATAACAAGTAGACATTTCCTACTTCGAAGATGACCCTTAAATAAAAACGTGCATCCCACTAACTTCCTTTTCATATACCCCCTCTCTCTCCCCCCCAGCCAAGCAAGAACAGTTTGTGACATACTAGTTTCTACCTAGTCGTCGTAGTCACAATGCCAGCACCAAAACCTCCACCAGTGCCGCTAACATCTGACCAGTCACCCACCCGGCAACAACCATCCCCTAAAAATAGTCCGTCTAAGTCGAAGTCAAAATCAAAGTCGGCAAGCCTTTCAAAGTGGTTCCGTTCGGTTTTCAAGTCATTCCCAATCATAAACCCAACTTGTAGGATGCCGATCTCGCTCCACGGAAACCGATTCAATGACAACCACATCCATGGAGGAAAACGCATGACTGGAACGCTTTTCGGGACCCGTAAGTCTAGGGTTAACCTTGTCATCCAAGAGAACCCCAAGTGCCTCCCCACGCTTGTACTTGAGCTCTCCATTCCTACGGAGAAGCTTTTGCAAGACATGGGGTCGGGACTCGTTAGAATAGCGCTTGAGTGCGAGAAGAATTCGTCGGACAAGAAGACAAAGCTCATGGACGAGCCGATATGGACCATGTATTGCAATGGTCGGAAAACGGGATATGGTGTGAAGAGAGAGCCGACGGATGATGATTTGAATGTCGTGCAGACATTGCATGCAGTGTCAATGGGCGCGGGCGTGTTGCCCAGTGAGACAGTGATGGGCTCACCCTCACCGGATGGCGAGTTGACCTACATGCGTGCCTACGTTGATCGTGTAGTTGGATCGAAGGACTCTGAGACATATTACATGATGAATCCAGATGGAAACTCTGGTCCTGAACTCAGTATCTTCTTTGTTAGGATCTGATATTGTCAATGTAAAACACAATGGAAATTAAACAAGAATGGTTGCTTATCATTATTACTTATCCTATCTAAGCATAATTTTCAGCTAATTCTTTAGTACACAATCCTCAAAAAGGTGTTTACCATATAACCATTAAACTCCTGTGTTTATGGGTATCCACTATCCATCTAAAGCATTACACATCAATAAAATTTATTCTAAATGGGAAAAGAGAAAAATGATTGAAATAGATGCTAAACCTCTTAATCACTATATCCATCTAAAGCGTGACAAATCAATAAAATTTATTCTAAATGGGAAACGAGAAAAGATTAAAAACCCATCACTCTAGGCCTCATTTAACAATCAACTTACAGAAGTGCAATAACCGTGCTGCCAATCATTTGTCTAACACTCTGTTTTGGGGGGAAACGTTTTCTAAATATTGTTTCCAAAACTTGTTTTGTAGTCTTTCCCCCTTTTAATGAATTTATGTATTATGTTCAAAATAAATAAAAACAAAGTTCTATAGAAAATTCATATGACGTGTTGATGATAAACACACATATGTATCACATATGATATACATACAGGACAATTAAACTAAAGTGTTATTAAAAAACTTCAGGTCAGTTTATGAAATACAAAATCTGGCTGGTTTCAAACACCAAAGCCTGTGCTGCCATTATAGATAGTATAGATTAGATTAACTTACTTGGTCTTTTCTGTTTTGAAGACGATCTTCAACATATTGTCATCATCCAAATAATTCGCCGCTACATATTTGTATGGGAACATCAATTATTTCTGTCTTTCTCTTCTTAAGTTCAGGCATGTTCTCGACATCATTCCTTACCAATTGGTTCATGTTGCTGACATCTTGTTGAGCAATCTCCACCTTTCTTTTCTTTCCACCTTCTGTTTTTTTGTCCTTTTTCTCGGATGTCTGCAAAGGCTTGACTCTCAAGCGTGCTGTTTCTTGCCATAGCCCCTCGTAAACTGCAATATCTTTTAAAGGCTCACCCGCAGTTTCATGGCAGTGTTCTTGATCCTCATTCTTTTGAATTATTTTCTGCATTGTCGGCTCCTCCACTTGTTCATCAAGTAAATCCCTCTCTGTTTGCAGTTGATTCATCTCAGATAGCAGTACGTCCATTGTCGTTCTCATTTCCAACATTTTTTGTTCATTTTCCTTGATTGTACACAGAAGCTCTTTCGTCCGCGTTGCTCTGTCTTGTTCAAGCTTGTTTAGTTGATTCTTCAGCATCACAATGGTTGCAACCATGCTCTTGTTTTGATCTTTCAACTCCACATTTTCTTCTGCAAGCTGCTTAATCATATACTGTGCCTCGTTTTGTTTCACCAAATCCTCATTTTCCAAAGGCACCTTATTTTCTGTCAAATTTTGGACTGCTACGTCACACAATGTACCAAGGGAACCAAGATGATCATCCAATTCTGCACCATTTTTTTCACTGTCTTCTGAAAATAGTGAAATTTCACTACAAACTCCCCGTTCAATTTTCTCTAGTTGTTTTTTTCCTGAAATTCTTTTCTGCTCTGCCTCTCCGGAGAGGAGTTTTTGTTCTTTTTTACTGGGGACAAGCTCTGCACCCAATACCTGTATGCACGGTTGTTTCAATGTATTAAACATTAAGTAGATTGATATTTTTCACTGCATTAAACTAGTGTGAAATTTCACTGCAGTGATATTTTCCTCACCTCTTTAGACTTCAATATCTTTAAAGATCTTCCCCTCATCTTCGTGTTTAATTTTGTGAGGTCCCATTTAAGAAACCTTGGAAACACATTCTCATCTTCAGGTTGCACTAATGTTGTGTGTTCGCAAATCCAATACTGTAAACCATTGTTATGAAGTAAATTTTTAGTGAAATTTCACTTAAAATTTGAGAAAACCAAATGCATTGAATTTTGGGAATACAAATGTAGTGAAATTTCACTAATGTGGTGGTGAGGATACTTACCAATAGGGCTATTACGCATCCTGTAGCCTTCTCTGGTGATGAATATGTTGTTTCAATGGAAGAAATCAGAGAACTTCTTATTGCACTTGACCATGCATAACTCTTCATGTTTTCCAAATCTTCTATATATTTCACGAAAACCCAACCTATTGTATGTCCAGATGTTGCAAATAATAGTGTTGTGCAGATGTACAAGCACATAATTCTAGCAACATCTTCAACATCGTGTTGCTTCTTTCCATTAACAGTTTTCTTCAATGCTTCTTCTAACAAGGGCTTTGACAACCTGTTTGTCTCCTTGAACCTTCTTTCTATGAATGGTGTATTTGGTTTCTTCGCATATGACAGGTTCAATTTTGTGCTTCCCGAATTTATACCAAATATCAAACATATGTCACTATCTCTCAATGACACTATTTTTGGCCCCAATTTGAATCCCTTGGTGTTTGCTGAATATGATCGAATAATGGTAGCGATACCATCGCCAAACTTTCTGATCCTGGTTGTGGCTGTTGTATTTGTTATAAAAGCATTGAATAGCAACCAGAATGGGGTCTTCCGAAGTACATCGAGATGTTCGCTCCTGAATTTTATTTCTTTCACCAGCATCATGAAGGCTCTTAGGTTGGATCTGTATTGTGATCCGCAGTTTTCTTTTATCCTTTGGTCAATCAGAATTGGTTTCTTAGCAGGTTTCACTTCAGAACTATTGTCACTCTCTGATAAATTGTCCTCCTCGTCTGGCAACGCTTTCTTGTTATTTCTTGCCTTTGTCTTGTACCTAGGATCCTTCAAAGAACGTGTGGTTTTTTCCATCTGTAAATACAACATAAATAGTGTTACCATTTTGTAGTGCGAATTCTCTCAAGTTGTGGAAATATTTTTTTTAATGGAAATTAAAAGCAGTGAAATTTAAGTTTTCCTGAAAATACAACCAGTGGAAATTCACTTTCAAAACAAAATGGAAGTTAATGTAGTGAAATTTAACTTCTTGTGGATAGTTCAATGAGTATTCCTAACAAATTGGACAAGCATCATTTTGTAGTGAACAATCACAAAAAAATGTGGGAAATGGAATTCAAAATCAAATTGGAAATTACATGAATACAATATGTATTCATAATGAAACTAAAATTTCACTTCTCTTTTAAAGACATTGTGTCATTTTAATTTTTACACATAACAGAAGTGACAATTCAGTGTTGATGTAGCAAAATTAGATTTAGTGAAATTTCACTATAATAACAATATTAGGGTTTTATGTATCATTTGTGTAGTTAAATTTCATTTTTTCGCCAAAATCTATTATAATGTCCAACACAATCTAGTGATATCATTTTAATAACTAGCTTCTTGGCACATGTAATGTGTCAGCAAGTAATCATATGTGTCGGTAACCATCACGGATGATGTGGAAGGTTTTTTAACTACCTAAAAAGTTTATACTTAATGCCCTTCAAAAAATATGAAAGTATTCATTTAAATTGTTAAAAAAGCCTTTAAAAGGATATATATTTGGGTTCACACCTTATGAGTGTTTCCTTTACCTCTCAACAATAGATTCAAGGATAAGTATTCATTCTAGTGATTTGTATCCAAAGGTCAATTAGGATTTTAAAAATTAGATTATGAAATTGTGAAACATAATTTTTGAACTGGATTAATACTTCCAATTGAATAAGTATGGATAAAGGATCCATGGATGAAAACATGTTTCAAATTTCAAATTTAAGATTTAAGAGATCGAATTTTTCTTTTCACAAATATAGATGTAGTAGCATAGATAGATAATAATGAAAAGATGATCCAAGTAGTTGTCACTTACTCCAAATTATTGAAACTGTAACACAAATTGTGTAATGAAAATTTCACTACGTGAGGGGGGAAATTTCACAGTCAAGTTGTTGGAGACAAAAAGCTATATTGCACTCACCCAAACAATTTGAAAGAGAATTAGAGGAGAAACTAAAATTCTTTCATTCACTCATACTCTAAATGGTTAAATTACGAGGCTATATAGAGTTCACAAGTAACTGATGCCATTCTCACATTTAACACTCACTTTCTCCATTACTCTTTATAACATACCACTCCACCGCTACTTACAACATCTAACACACCACTAACTCATTTCTTATCGTTTATGAGTTCTATAAAATTTGAATATTACAATAGTTTTATTGCAGTGATATGTATGCTATTAGAATAATTTTAAAAAATATTGATAATTATTTTTTTAACAAACAAAACCAAAGTAAGCATTGAGTCCCAAACTGATCCGACTCAATAATTTGCCTTAGTATGTTCTCACCTCATCCAAAATCCACTAATCACTAACACTGCTACATCCATGAACTAAAAAAGTAAGGCTATAAAGGGCGTATCCGATGCACGAAACTACCGCTTAAGCAAGGTCTGGAAAAGGAAAGGGTTGATGTACGCAACCTTACCCCGCAAACCGAGAGACTGTTTTCACAACTCGAACCCGTCACCAAGGATAGCTTTACCGCTACGCTAGGCCAGCCCCTCAACGCCCCTCAACTAAAAAAGTAATGCTATACAAAATAACAAATCTTACAAAGTTTTTTTCTTACTGAATGTGGCACTCATCACACATTTTATCAATGTGGCTCCTATTTCAAATTTCAAAGTTGAGTCTTTTTTTTCAAAGTTTGTTTATTAAATGACACATTAGTTAGTAATAAAGATTTATAAGCTGTGAAAAATCACAACAATGTAGAAACAAAATTTGAAATTTTATTCATGCATGACACATAAAAATCAATGGATAAGAGAGTTGGCATATGAGTTGTGAAGAAGATAATTTCTTACTTTGGAGTCACTTGCAGAGTGGTGTTGGCAGTTCGGAAACCCTATATTCTGCTTTTTCAGATCAAATTTCTCGGCGATTGCGATCTCACCCAATGCCGTAGTGATGATGAATACGATTTTCCGAGTAAATTGTTGAAAGAAAATCACTTTGAAACGCTGCAATCGCGGCTTCAGTTACGATCGTCGTCGATAATTGCGATAGACAAGTATATGAACAACAAAAAGAAAAAAATTACAAATTCAATTACTATAGAAAATAAATTTATATTGCCCATCATATTTATATCTGAGTTTTCTAACCCACAAGCCTATATCTTTTAAGGAAAATGAGTTTTTAACCTACAACTCTCGTGGGAGTAATATCTTGATCTTAATTTTTTAATTTTTTGATTTAAAAAAAAATTCAACATTTATTGTTTTCTTCTAATTTACAAGTTTTTTGACTTCTCTCATAATTACTGCAACACCCTTTTCAACTTCTCCTATACCTTTTTCAACTTCTCCTATACACTATGGCCATGTTTGTTTGGGTGGACATGAGCTTGGGATTGGACTAATAGTCCAATAAAATTATTAATCCGATATTTGGTTAAACAATTGAAGTACGGACTAATTATTTTAAACTTGACTATTAGTTAAGATAGGATACATAATCCAACGGATTCGTAGTCCTAGGACTATTAGTGATGGGAATGCTAATCCAGTCCGTCCAAACAAACATGGCCTATAGTTACTGATGGAATTATTAAATTATTTTTATAACAAATCTAAAAAAATAGTAATTAATCCATTTAAAAGGAAAGCTAATTAATCTATTTAAATATTTAAATTGCTCTTATGCCTTGATTTACATATTTCAAAAGGGAAGTTAATTAATTCATTTAAAATTTGGACAAATTACAAACACCCCCTCGAGATTTGGTGAAAATACAGATTTTTCCTGAGGTTTGAGAAATTACATCCCACCTCCCTGAGGTTTATATTTTCATAACAAATTTTCCCTTGAGGTTTTTATTTTCATACAGATTCCCCCTAATTTGTCATGAAAATTTGACCCTCAGGGGGTAATTTGTAATTTCTCAAACCTCAGAAGGGAATCTGTATTTTTTCCAAATCTCGAGGGGGTGTTTGTAATTTGCCCTTAAAAATTTAAATTTGAAAGGAAAGTTAATTATCTATTTAAAAATTGAATAATGTTTCAGAGCTCGAAAATTTGCCCCCCTAATCCCCCTAATGCCCAAAACGACGTCGTTTTGGGCATTAGGCTTTTTTTTTTTTTTTTTTTTTTTTTTTTTTTTTTCAGTCTGCAGAGGAAGAGAAAGAGGGACAGAAAGAGAAGAGAGAAAGAGGAGAGAGGGAGAAAGAGAGAGAAGAGGAGAGAAGCAGCTCCGCCGCCGATCGTCCCCTCAAAGAGAGGGAGACACACACACACATGGGCCCCTGCATTCCGGCCGATCGGCCGATCGTCGCAGCTCCGCCATCGTTGCAGCTCCGCCATCGTCGCAGATCGTCGATCGTCACAGCTCGTCCGCCGTGCCGCCGTCGTTTGCCTCTGCTTCTTCTTCTCCTCTTCTTCCCTTCTTCTTCTCTTCTTTCTTTCTTCCCTTCTTCTTTCTTCATTTCTGCCTCTGCTTCATTTCTGATTAAACGGAAAAAAAAAAAAATCCAAAAACGACGAAACGACGTCGTTTTTGGTTCGGGGGATTCGGGAGGCGTGAATTCGAGCGACGTAGCACTGCCGTTAAAAATTTAAATAGCTTCTATGCCTTAATTTACACATTTTAAAAGGAAAGTTAATTAATTCATTTACAAATTTAAATTTAAAAAGAAAGTTAGTTAATCTATTTAAAATTTTAAATAACTTTTATGTCTTGATTAACACATTTCAAAAAGAAAGTTAATTAATTTATTTAAAAATTTAAATTTAGAAATTGAGATGGAAAGTTAACTAAAATATAAATTTGAATTTTTATACTACTAAAATATAGGAATTAATCTACAGCTTTCATAGATTTTTTCCCCCTAATGTTTAATAATTTTATATGCATCGATATTCCAATCTATATATCTATATTATAGCAAACAAACATTCCATTGAAAAAAAAAAAATCATTAAATCTCCAAAGATTAGTGATGTAGATGGAATCAAACAAAACGTGTAGGTCTTAGAGTTTTAAAGTAAAAAATTTATGTTAGAATTTGTTCAAGTGTAATTCTCTTAATATTTATAAATATTTTTTATTGATTGACAAAAAGCATCCTAAGCATTAAGATTATTGTTTTGTTTTTAATTATTATATTGAGTTATTAAAATAAAATGTATTATATGCTTAAACCAAGAATTGTTGGAGAAAAAAAAAATCGACTCAAACTAAATTTTCTAGACTCATTTTTAATATTTAATCTAATGTTGAAACCCTCAAACTAACTTAGCTCGGTTTCAAACCGATAAAGATAATTTTAAACAATTAAGACAATTTTTAATGACTAGGCGAATGTCACATTGGCATAAATATTCAGAAAATGCTATGGACCCCAAACAAATTACCAAATTTTCTACCAAACCTCTCACATGGGTGTGGGATCCACACAAATCAAATGTGTGTGGGTTCCATACCCATGTGAGAGATTTGGTAGAAAATTTGGTAATTTGTTTGGGGTTCCTAGCATAACTCTAAATATTCAGTCAACTACCTTTTAGGTCATTTCTAATATTTAGTTCAACACCACAAGTCAATTTTAATCCATTTTCACATAAGAGTTATAACAACAATTTTAAGTAAACAAATTTTTAGGTTTTACAAAATAAGAAAAAATTATTATATTAAAAAATATAATTTATTACTAAAATTAAAATTACGAAAGTTATAAAATGGAATGTATTTATAAATTTTACCAATTAAATTATTACATGCAGATTTTTATTAGAAACTTAGGAAATACAATTAATAACATCAGAATAAAAATCTTCTCTTATTGTAACTCTAATAAAAATTAATAAAATTTAATTGATTATAAATCACTTTTACAACATATTTCAAATAAATTTTATATTATTATTTTAATTTAAAAACTAATTTTTAATTATTTATTTATACTTGTGCATAACACGAGTAATATGCTAGTATATATATATATATATATATGGGATTCGCTTCCCTCCCGTGATCTGATTGGAGGGTATTGTTGGGTCTAGAAAGTCTATCATGGGTTTCGTTTTTATAATTTAAATGGTTCAATGTGTAAAACTTGTCGAGTACTATATACCTGTAAAAAATTATGTTAATCAGATATCGATACTTATTTCATCGTATCAAATTTCTGTTAATCGTTTATTTTTTCATCGTCTATTTTTTTTTAATACAAAACTAATCTGATCACATAGCTATCGATATCCGATCAATGTAATTTTTGATAAGTATATAGTGCTCGACGAGTTCTACACATTAAACGGTTCATATTATCAAAATAAGACCCGTGGTAGTCTTGACTCAGAGAAATTTCCTTGTGAAAATTAAAATTTCTCTGAGTCGGAAAAAATTTCTCTAAGTCAAATTTTCTTTATAAAAATGTTGAGGGACCTTAGCTAATAAAAAAAAATATCTTAGACCTCTCCTACTTCACAAAAGTTGGAATGTTTCACTAATTTTCCCTAAAGAGAAATCAATGCTCAACATAATCTATTTGTTTTTCTTAATCCAACCACAACGTACTTATATTTAATTTTTAAAAATAAATTTGATATAATTTCTATTTTAAATATTTTTATTTCCAAATGAATAAAAAAATGCAATCACTTTTAATTTTATGTTATTAATTTTTGGAATTTTTTTTAAAGATCCTGATATTAAGATTTTATAAGATAAAAAACATATAATATTTTCACAATAATTAAAATCCCTCAACATTTCTATAAGAGAAAAATCAACTATGAGAAATTTTGTCCGACTCAAAAAATTTCAGTTTTCATAGAGAAATTTCTCTGATTTTACAGAAAATTTTTGAAACTTCTTTGTGATCATACCAGAGAATTTCTCTGGGTCGGGTAAAATTTCTCTAAGTCGAATTTTCTTTGTGAAAATGATGAAGGAACTTAGCTAATAAGAAAAAATATCTTGGACCTCTCCTATTATACAAAGTTGGAGAGAGATGTTTTACTAATTTTTTCTTAATTTTTCTTCCAATTTAACTATTTTTATTAATGTCAAAATAAGTATTTATTTTATTACGTTATAATTAACATCATATAAAATCATTATATATTTATTTTAGTTATATAGCATGATAGGGCAAAGATTATTAAAATACATATAAATAATTAAAATAAAATTACATATACATACATGTAAATATTTCTAAAAATAATTTATATATAGACATACATAAATAATTTAACCTAATTTTATAAAATATTGTTAAAAAAAAATTAATCGGTGTGATGCAACTGTAGTCAAATAATAATAATAATAATAATAATGGCTATACAAATGGGGGAAAAAAAGATGAAAAAAATATTTTTTAATGTGTTTGTTTAGATAGAGAGTTCTATGAAGTAATGGAAACTACGTTTCCTGTACAATGAAAATTAGCTTATTAATTAAGCTAACAATTTCTTGCAAAATATAAGGAGATTTATTTTTTCCTACAAGTCCTTCTTTTGTGTCCATATTTTTCTCCACAACTCCATCTTATGTAATGATTATATATTTTTTTCTATCATTTAAAAGAAAAAAAAAATTTCATCTATTCAAACATATGCAAGAAAAAAAAATTTCATTTATTTTTCCTTTCTTTCACTTCACTTTTTATCATTTTCATTTTCTATCATACAGAGCAATAGTGAACATAAAAAATATATGGATACATTACAAATATGCTTTGAGATTTACTTAAAATACAAATTATCTTTGAAATTTCTAATTTCATATAAATGAATCGTTTTATTATAAATTATCAATTCAATTAACAATTTTTAATGATATTAGAAATTTATTTCAATTAATAATTCAAGTAATTTTATTATTGTTTAAGAAAGCAGTTAATAATTTTATTTTTTCAATTAATTATATTAAATAAAAAATTCTCACAAAGGGGTATTTATAATTTTTCAAAGGGATTTTTATTGATAAATTCATTTTAGAGTTGTTGTAACCCATTAGGTCCACAAAGGATTAATATAGCTTGATTAGTCTCATGTATTTATCTTTTTATTCCATTAGATCCTTTTTCCTCATTTCATTATTTTTAATGGGTTATTATGCCCTTATATATTTATATATATATATTGTTGATACAC